AACTCTAACTTATGAACCAGTAACTTAATCAGTGAGCACATAGCCCAATTTTCTGAAGCAGTAATGCATCTAACATCAGGCAATAGTTTTAGTGTGCATACATTAAAGAATGTTATATAGCAAGAAACTTTTAGAGCTTCTTATCTCTGAGTATTTGGTTCCCTGCAGAGGGGGAATTTGTAGCAGGTCAAGGAGAGTTCATTAGATATTACTACTTTGTGGACAAAATGGCCCAGGAAACTGTCTGATTAGCTTTGCTTACATGCTGTGCATATCAAAGAAACTTCTGGTGACCAACTAGAAGGGGTCCAAGATGTGGAACTAGGCATGCTTAGCTGGCAAGGAACCTAAGGTTACCAGATTGTCTGGTTCCTGGAACAATACAGGGAAAAAATATGGTTGCTGAAGCCTTATGACTGAGTCAGGGTCTCACCTGTTATTAAATGTATGACCTTGACAGCACCACTTAAAAGTCACTGGGAGGCTTTGTGTCTGCTCCTGTAAAACATAGCTACTATCAGTGAGCACCCAGAAGAGCTGAAAATAAATGAGACAGAAGTTGTTAAAGTATTTTGGAAACCACAGGAGTGAGAACTGATGAATACAAATCCCATTGCTTTGCGCTCTTCCATTTGCTCACTTCACTCTGGGACTGAAGCCCTGTGCAGCTCCTACAATGCTCAAGAACCTTTCCTGAGCTTTCCCTCAGGCTGGACCTTCACCTTCCACTCCCTGTCCCATGCTTTTATTCTTCACCTGCTGTACTCTTTCTTGGTTTCCTGACTTCCAAGATCATTATTGCTCCTGAAAGGCCTTCTTTGCTTCCAACCCACCTTAGGTTGTCTTTCCTAGTGGCCAGTACTTCCTCCATTGCATTGTTGGGGTTCAACCACACATTTGTGTGTGTGTTTTACCACTTACTATCTCTCTTCCTGGATGATTAACTCCAACAGGGGCATCTTCTTGATTTCACTCTTCAGTGCATTCCTCAGTACCTTGCATAACAGAGGCATTCTGTAATGATCATAAAGCATTATTATTTAATTCTCCAGCATAAATATAAATATTAGCCTCTTTATTACTATATAAAAGCGTTTGTGTCATTTGGGTCACTTGGTCTGATCAAACTTAACTAGTTCTAGATAACAAAGTCAGCTGTGAGTCCTACCACAGTGAGGATTTACTCGGCCCTCTCCCCATGGGGGCCAAGGTGAGGTGGTCTCAGGCAGATTTCTTTCAGGGAAGACTTGGAGCATTTTGTAAGCTGGCTTTTCTTTAGCTTATTGCTCTGACACAGGGAGAGAAAACCTGAAGTGCAGGATGAGTATTGTGGTATAATGAAAGCTTCCCAATATTCCCCTTCAGCTCTAATCAGTTGCAAAGTTGTATGTATAGGGAGAATTGCAGCATGGTGTATCTTGGGTGAAATCATCTTTTTCCTGTTTCTTCCCCAAAATGTAAGACTGCTTTAAATCCCAGGCAATCTAAACTAAACCTTTTTAGCGTTACTTCCTAAAGTGTTCGTGTTCTTGTTCTGCTTCAAGTGTTTCTACATTTCTCTGGCACTATAAATAATGTGGAATTGATTGCCTGCAGAGCCCAAGCCTTACCTTACTTCCTGCCTTCTCTTCCCTCTCTTCCTTCTCACACCTCATCCCCAGTCCTTCCAACTGGTTTACAAGTCCTTCACCACACTGTGTTTTCTTGTGCTTTTGTGATTTGCATATAAATTTCTTCTCCAACATTTTATGCCTGGTAAGTCCCACTGGGCTTGTTCTAACAGCACTTTCCTAAAGTCTTTCCTAATGGGGGCTTCTTTATGCCTTCCCTGCAATCTTTTCGTTATAGTGTGTGTCTTGTGTCAATTAGAATAGTCTCTGCCTCCTCCACACCAGAATGTGAGTTCTGTGACAACACACATGGCATCTCATTCATCATCAAATCCCCATACCCTATTAAGGGTCTCAAAGATACCGAGGCTTAGGGGGAATTTCCCTTTTTTCGGAATATCCAAAAGTCCAAAACCAAAAATATAGATCTAGCTTCCAGACTTAAATAGTAGTTTTACTTTCTGGAGCTAACTCAACCAACTCTTCATTTATTTTTTTCCCTCCCAGGAAACTTCATTTGACTCATGTAGAAGTAAATGGGTTTGAAGGCCTTGTCTTTGTCTTGGATTCAACAAATGAACATCTATAACAAAAAGAGGGCATGTGTCTCAGCAAGCAAAAGTTGGGTAGGGTACTAATTCCTAGATGCCTCAAACACATCTGACTTTATTGCATCACCATTGAAGTTGATTGTTTTTATTGAAGTGACATCTGGAACTATTTTTTTGTGCCTACTTAATGATACACATTCTCTTTCTTTGTCTCCACCTCCAAGCTTAATATTTCAGGTAGATTCATTTTAAATAACAAGATGCCTGTTTATATTAGTGAAGTAGGAAGGCCTAATAGATTTATGAATGTGTTAGCAGCCTAATTCTTTTCAGAATGTGCATTGAGAATTACAGTATAGAACTTGGTGACTCGCCAGGTGTGACTTTTCTGGTAAGGTCTGTGACCCATCTGGAACTGTGTGCCAGGATATGAATAAAGTACATTTTTCCCTAGAAGAGAGATTTGAATCACGTGGGAGAAGGGTTTAAAATCATTTGTTCCTTCAGTCATCAAAAGTTTACTTTATGAACATCTACCATGTGTCAGGCAAGGTACTAGGAATCTGTGGTCCCCTAATGAGTAGGATAGGGCCTGAAGACACAGATGTGCACAGTGATAATGCATTTTGGCAAGTGCTGGCGAAGAAGTTTTGAGAAAATATTATGATGCTCAGAGGGGAATTATTCATTCAACCTGTACATGGAGTCAGCTAGATAGTTTTCACAGAGAAGGTATCACTTAGGCCAAGAAAGCACTGCAAAGGGGAGTGAGGGGAGGAGGCATTTGCTGAATCAGAAGAAAAGGTGTTCCAAGCAGAGGGATTAGTAGAGAGATGTCATCAGAAGTTTGGAAGGGTAAAAGTGCTTGGGATTCATTTATATATACAAAGATATGTTTCTGATAGTGAGCAGTAGTCTATTCAAGGCTTATCTTTTGTGAGACACAGTACTCTGGAAGGCCTAATCAAAGCTAGTACACACACATACCCTGGATAGTGTGTTGTCTGCCTGTGCCTGTCTCTTTCATTTTCTTGAAGCTAGGGCCTGATCAACACAAAGAGTTAAGAGCTCAAGATTGAAATATACATATATAACAGATTAAGTGAGAATAATGACTTTATATGTCATTACCGTCATCCTCCTTGTGCTACCCAAAAAATAACTCATTGAAGGTCCATAATGAAATGAATCACTGAATGTGTTTAGAATTAGCAGATTTTGTTTCCAACATTTCCAAAGTTCAGTGGTAAATTTCCTCTGATACAATTATTTTTCCACTTCTTTTTGTTAGAATGGTCAGAATTTCAGGGCTATACATTTAGAATGTTAGTTGAAAGAATCAACAAAGTCTGAGTTTCACACTTTTCCTGTTTTTAAAAGCTGAAATCTAAAGCAAACTGAGGCATGGAGTGCTCTTCTGTACTGCACTGTTGTCTGGGCTCTGTCTACCTTTGCAGGTAATTAATTCCCTAGCCTACTTTTTTTCTAGTTGGCTCTTGTTTAGCTTTGGCAGAGCCCCACCCCAAAGTGCTTTATTGTCCCTCTGCTAACCATTCCTACATATGGTCAAATTCAACTCACCTTCTGAGTTGCTGACACCAGCAACTTCACTGTTGGGCAAACACAGCTCTGCTCCCAGTAACCCTTTGTTCAAGAAATGTTACTACAACCAGTATATCTCAGAGCCTAATCTTCCACCCTGGGATTTGCTTCTAGAGAAACTCTTTGTCTATCTGGACTCACAGTTACAGGCAGGGTATTAGCACTCCCAGACCTGCTGGGTCCTAGAGCACTGCTAATGAGCAAACAGCCCTGCCTCAAGCAGTGGTTTATAAAAGATTCCTGGATATCAAGTTGCTTTCTGCTTGATAATCATACTGGCTCTTGGGATAAAAGCAAACAAGCAAAAATTGTTCCCTTGTTGAGTCCTCCTTGTTGATCTCCTAAATATACCTGCAAAAAGTAATTTAAATTTGCCATTTCCCCAGAGCTGAGTTTTGGTTTACATATGTAATCATTGTATTGGTGTTTGTGTTTTCTTTTGTGAATCTTTCCATACTGTTTGGACTAGTGTCTTTTGAGACTGGCCTATAATAAGTTAGATTATTTGAGAAATACAGGGTGAATATGGACCCAAAATGATAAACTGCTATATTAGTAATTTCCTTAGGCATAGGGGTTTATTTTAGGGATGGGAGTGGGGAAAAGGAGGGGAAGGGGAGAGAGGCAGAGAGAGCTTTATGTACATCACTTCTATTCTGACTTCCTAAATTCTCTTCCTAATTACCAATTTGATTGCTGACCTAGTAACCCGAGCAACTGAACAGTTTCAGTATATAGCTTGGGAGAAAAAAAGTACTAAAGGGAAAGGAGTTCAAGATTTATTATTAGTATTTTGAGTATATTTATTGTGACAAGAATGCTGTTATATTCATAAGCAAAGTTGCCATGTTTAAAAATCTAGGCAATGTTAGATTTCAAGTTGGACAGATACACCTTTTGTAAAATCTGCCACAAATTCTGCTTTGAGAATAAAAATCTATTGTTAAATCTCTACCAACATTATTAAGGTTCACGACACATGCCACTTGATACAATTCCAAAACTTTTAAGTGCTGGCATTACCCAGACTGACCCCCTCCATGGCAGTCCCCTGAAACACCACTCTTTTGGTAAGCAATTCCTTACAGTAGCGGAAAAGGCAAGAGTATTGTTTCTAAAGCTTAGTAGAGAATATAGTTTATACTGCTTGATAGCAAGAAGCACTACAGGTGATTTTAACTGACGCTCAACACTTTCAACTCCATATAGCTAGCTTTATAGATAAGGCAGAAAATAATTTGGGGGGTACTTTTCAATATTTTATTGTATTTTCTTAAATATCCCTTCTGGAATTTTCAGAAAAAAACATAAAAAAATTATATACTTTATTACAAATGGTAAACTCAAGAGTACTCCAAATCTCTTATTTACAAATAACACTGGGCAGGACACACAAACATGAAATAACTTAAGAAAGGCAGGAAGCTGTTTTATTGACAGTACTCAGCTTTTATCAAATTAAAAAAAATATATATATATATGTACATAAGCAGTTGAGGAAGGCAGGCCAGAAAGAGTTCACCTGCAGGCTCAGCCTGGCCCTTATACCCTCCCTTCGCCCCCCTCCCCTTTGTGTTCTTAAGGAGTACTACGGAAGTAATCTACAGTCTGTCTAGCAGTTTGAACCCCTCCCCCCGCCCCTCGTTTAATACTGAATGAATGTTAGGTCCATGCAGTTCTTGGTCAATGCTGAACAGTCCGTCGCCCATTTCGCGCGAGGACAGCCCGTCTGTCTGCAGAGGGGGCAGCCCTGGGGCGGCCGCTCCGGGGCTCCACGCCAAGGGGAGTGCACAAGTCCTTTCCCACTCATGCCCGCTGGGGGCGCCGTCAGGACACAACCCAATCCAATTTGGATACCGTTGGCTTCAGTCCTCGGACACTTCTTTATACGGCGCAGGCTGTCAAGTTATCGTCAGTCTGTGTTACTTTGTTTCTCCGCTGCTCTCTACAGTCTCTCCTCAGAAAGTCTGCAACTGCTGCGTTAGCATGAGTTGGCACCCGCTGTTTACATGGTTCATGACTTTCTGTTTAAGCTGCGCCACCTGCTCCCTGAGCATGTTGGCTGTGGACGCCAGCTCCGAGTTCTGCGCTTTCAAGGTCTTCACTTTTTCCTCCAGCCGGGCGATCCTCTCTAGCTTCCTCTTCCTGCACTTGGAGGCGGCGATGCGGTTCCTCATGCGCTTCCTCTCGGCCTTGATGCGCTCCTGGGACTCCATGTCGATGGGGGACAGCGGCGGCGTCTCGCCGGGCATCTCGGGCACCGTCTGCGGCTCCTCCTTCAAGGCCTGCAGCCGCGGGTGCTGCACAGGGAGCTGCTGGGGTAGGGGGTGCGGCGGAGGCTGGGGCTGGGGCTGCGCAGGGAAGGCCAGGCCGGCGGCGCCGTAGGATGGCGCCCTGCCGCCGCCGCCGCCGCCGCCCAGCGCGCCGGGGTTGAAGCTGCTGAGATTGGCGTAGACGGGTGGCTCGCTGTGCAACCCGAAGCCTCCGCCGCCGCCGCCGCCGCCGCCGCCCGCTGCGCTCACGGGCTGCGCGGCCGCCGCGGCGCTGGGCAGCGTGTTCTGGCTGTGCAGCTCGGCCAGCGCGCGTACGAAGCCCTCGGCGAAGCCCTCTTGCTCGTCCGTCACGTTCTTGGGGCACAGGAACTGCGTGGGCGTCGGTGTGGTGGTGATGTGCCCGTTGCTGGACTGGATGATCAGGCGCTCGAGCTCGGGCGACGCCAGCTTGAGCAGCCCCACGTCGGGCGAGGTGAGCAGGTCGGCGCTCTTGGCGCGCAGGTGCGGCTTCAGGCTGCCCGCCGGGTCGGCCAAGTTCAGGGTCAGGCTCTGCTTCAGCGCCTTGGGGTTACCGTAGCCGTAGGCACCACCGTCGGACGGCAGGAACGAGGCGCTCAGGGCGTCGTCGTAGAAGGTCGTCTCCATCTTCGCGCTCATAGAAAGCCCGAGTTTCCGCGCGAGTCGACCCGGCAGCGCTCGGGCGGGCAGGCGGGAAAGTCGGGGCCCGGCCGCGCCGCCTCCCAGCCCGCGGGCGCGGGGTGCCGGCGCGCCGGCTCCTCCTGGGCCAGGGGCCGCTCGCGGGCGCCTCCGGCGACTGTCCCTCCTGCGCGACCCTTATCGGCGCGCGCGCTCTGAGCTCCGCAAAAGTTCGCTTCGGGCCGTGGGGCCGTTCGTCCCCGGGCTCCGGGCCGGGAAACTTCCCGCCGCCGCCTGTCCCCGCGCTGTCAGCCGCGGGGCTGTCCTCCGGGGCGGCCGGATCAGTGACTCTCCAAGCACTCTCCGAAACCCCGGGCTGGCAGCTACAGGCGCTTGCTCCGGGCAGGTGCCGAAGAAGTGGAAGGAAAAGAAGTCTTGTAACTCGGACCACTCCGCCGCCCGGCCGACTGAGTAAGTCTGTCCGTCTGTCCCCCTGAGCGCGCGCACTCCACTCCCGCCGCACTACCTCAGCCACACTCCGTGCAACTCTGAGCCCTAATCCAGCCCGAGCCCAACACTTATCTGCAACCAGTCAACCCCTAAAAATAGCCCATGATGTCACCCCAAGGCCTTCCCATTGGCTCGCGTCGCTCTCAGGAGGGCGGGTCCGCCCGTCGCCATGGAGACCCCACCCTAGAAGATTCTTCTCCGGGCGCGCTAAGGCTCACGGGATGAGGTAATGCTCCGCCGCACTCCCACAGTTGGGCCGTCCCACCCCCCGCGCGGCTCTAGGCCCGCTCCCAGCCCCTCCCCTCCCGCACGTCCAGCCGGCCCGCCCGGTGCATTGTGGGCTGACGTCTTGGAGTTTGACGTGCAGTGATGGGCTCCCGCTCGCACGGGGGCGGTCCCGGGTTCTGCCCCGGGCTGCACTACGGGACGCGGGCGGCCGGGCGGGTAGGACGTGTGGGGAGTGCGGGCTCCCGCGAGGGGGCGAGAGGCGAGGCCCGGCGTCCCGCACTTCCGGGCGCGCTCTACCCTGGAGGCACCGCGAGTGCGCGCGGGGAAGGACGCCGGGGTTCCGGACCGGGGTCCTGGCGAGGTCGGCCCGGCCCTCGGGGACGTTTGTCTGGGCGAGTTCGACTGTGCGCGGACGGCCTTGTCCCCACCCCGCTGCGACGGCGTAGGGGAGCGCGGGGCTCAGGGTCGGGGCGCGCCCGGCTCCAGCCCGGCCTGTGGCCAGCGCTCGCTCGGCCGCGCCGCCCGACCCCCCCGCAGCCTCTAGGAAGCGCTGCACACTTGTGGGTGGCTCCGCTTGCCCGCGGTGCCGGGTCCGCCCCCACCCCATCCCGCGGGGAGAGAGTGGGCGGCTGGAGACCGCTGGAGCTGGAACAGTTCCTCGCTCTTGGCTAGGCTGCCTCGGCTCAAGTGTGCAAAGCCCGGGACTTCTCCGAGCCTGGTGTGCCCGATCTGCGAGTGGCGCTGGTGACTTCTACCTTGGGCTCTCGGGAGTTAGTGTAGGGACGTGGTCATTGAGCATTCCCCTGCCCGGCCCTTCCTTGGTTTCCCTGAGCCTTTGATGGAAGGCCGGGGTACACTTTTCCGGGAGGAGCTGAAGGGCAGTAGGGCAATAATTGAAAGGTTAGAAGTCAGCGCTGGCCCAGGCCTTGTGTCTTCAACTGGGGTGGAGGTCGCTCCTGCGGCCGTTTAAACCCTTGGGTTCTAGTCCAGGCGTGCCTGAAAATTGGGATTTGGGCCATGGGTTCATGGCCTGGGGACTTGGAGTTGTTTGTGAGTTCAGAGTTTGAGAGTTCAGAAAACAACAGCGCTAAGCTGGTGAAGGGCCACAGTCATGACAAGATCCAGTTACTTCCCCGTGGAGGCAGCATTTTCTTGTACCTGTTGCCTGAATCATTTAAGGCTGGAATTAGGGAGCTAGTGGTCTAAATAATATTTTCGGATAACAGTAACAAAAATAATTTCCATGAATCAAACACCTATCGTCTGCCAAGTGGTCTCCTAAGCAATTTATGTATACTGCTTTCTCCCTACATCCAGCGTGAGAGACTTACAGTGTATGAGGAAATAGGCCCGGAAAGTTTCGGTGTCTTTCTCTGGTAACCAAGGCTGCTGGAAATTGAATCTCAGGTCTCTGTTATAGTTCCTTGTATTTCTCTATTCTGGCCAACTTCTTTGTAAAGTACGTTATCTGCAGAAGAAGTGATCCTGTAGCATGGAAGAAATGGTTTGGCGTGAACCTCTTTGTAACTTTCCTTTTGGAAACATGGTATTTAGAAGCGTAAAAACTTAGGGTTTGGGATAAATGTGTATCTGTTACCTGGGAGTTCTGTGTGTTCTGCTTTGTCTTATGCGATTTAATAGGCTGATTTTCTCTTTAGGTCGAGAAATAGCATATTTCTTCTAAAATGTCACAAATCTGTTCTTATTAGCACCCCAGTTTGGAAGTCTTCACTGGCATCCTCTTAGGACTGGAGAGAATTCTGACTCCTTTGCTGGACAAAAGGGGCCTTTCCTGACCTGGCTCCTCTCCAGCCTCATCTTTCACTCCTAGCTCTCGAGAAAGAATGGGTTACCCTGTTGTCACTAGCTACCCCAATGGCAAATGTTTAATCCAGTGAAAGTATTTCTTGATTCTGCCGCGTGCTGAATTTGGTCTGTGGGGGCGCTATGGTCACTGTAGGCCAGCGTTGGGGAACCTTTCGGGCTGTCAGTGTGGCTTACATTGCAGAAGCTTCGCTAACACTACTTGGCACTCACGGACTCTGGTTGAGCAGCCTCCATCCTGTATTGTGCTTCTCAGAACCAGGCTGGGAGAGGGAACTCGGCAAGTCATGGCCTGGCTCCCAGCACATCCACCTGCGCTTCCCAACTTGTGGACCGCTGGCCAAACAAGTCACGTGGCCATGCCCTGCTCAAGTTTTGTGGGGCTGAGTGTCTCAGATGGCTTATTGGGGGCGCACTAATAACCCTAACAGTCTCCCTTTCTGGTCACTCTCCTCCTGTGAGCAGTTTCTTCGTTTTTTTTTCTTCACTTTAGTTAGCTGTAAAGACCCTTCCAACCACAGAACGAAGCTCACTTTTTGGTTGCTGTGTGGTGGAGTCTGTTAGGTCCCAACACATCTCCTTTTCCTCTGCAGGAAGATACCTACCCTGCACAGTCCTCTGCATGTGTGGTAGGGCACAAATAGTTTCTCTCATGGAAAGGGAAGTCTGCAATAGATGTTGGCCCCTTGAGAAGATGTTTTGAGGACCTCTCCCTTTGAGTTCCTCAAACAGACTCTGGTTCTGCTCCCTGAGGCGAAGGGCCCTGTCTGGAGTTTTCCATGACTTCCGGGTTTGCCTCTTAGAGAGTCTTCCTTTTCTACATTACACTGAACCTCAGGAAATAACGCTTTTAAACAAGCTACACATGTGGGGGATGCAGAACAACATTAAGTGCTGGCGACAGTCTCCTTTAGTCCAAGCTGATGGTTGAGCAGTATAATTCTTGGAAAAATATAAGCTTGTTTTCTGTTCGGTACCAGGTCTTGTGCTGGTGGCCACTCTTCCCTAGACATGCTTCGATATTTTGCCATGGTTCTTTCCTACTTGCATGTCTCTGTCTCTTGCTTTTAGCTGGGCCGTGAGTAGTTTAGGCTTATTGGGTGTCACAACACCTTTCCTCCCTTTTTCAGAGCATTTTTGTGCAAGTGAAAGCGTAGGCTAGGTAGCATCTTAATTTGTCCTGAAATTTTAATAATAAGTTTGTATATCAAGGCTGATTTTTTCAAAGCCTTGAAAAATTAGAGAAACTTTTTTTTAAAAAATCGGTACCAGGGATTGAACTCATGCCTGTGCGCTTGCAGGGCAGGTGCTTATGCCGCTGAGCTAAATCCCCAGCCCCTAGGCCTTGAAAAATTAAATGTCTTAATTTTTTGTATTAGTTAAGATTGAGAAATAGTTGCTTATTCTGACCCCACAGATCTCTGAATTTTTAGGTTGTCTCTACACCCCTCCATGCCTGCTTACAAAGTGCTTGAATCTTTTCCAAGCTCTTTTTTTTAGTAATGGCTTCCCAAATGCATCCAGCAGCTACCAGCACATGCTGCTGACATTCTGTTGTATACCATCTTGCTTTAGTTCTATGTGTTTTTATGTGCCACCTTCTAAATTATCACAGGTGATAGGTTCACCAGATACATCCCTGTCCTGTCAGTTTCTGATAGCAGTGTGCTTAGTCCTCTAATTAATTGAAGTTACTGTTGTATTTATTATTGTTACATTGCCCCATGTGTTGGTACTACTGTAAGTAAAGACCAGGTTGTGCCCCTATAACACAATTCAAAAACCTGTTGATGGCCTAACAGAACAAATGCTCCCTCCCTCCTGTTGAACCCAGGGCCTTGCAGGGTGCACCTTTTAGGCAAGTGCTCGTCCACTTAGCATTTCCCCAGCTCTGAAATCGTTTCCTGCTCATACTGTGTGTTCAGGGTCAAAGGACTATGCTCAGTGTATCACTCAGAAACCTGTTCTGGAGGGGTTTCATGTTGACTAGTTCCCAGTCATCCCAGTTACTTTGGTGGGGGAGAAAAGTATGATAAGTTTTTGTTAGGTTTGGAAGCTTCTCTCAGAAATGATGCACATGATTTTTCTCATGGATTATTGGCCCAAACTGGTCGCGTGACCACACGTTATTAAAAGGTGGAAGGGAAGTGCGGTTTTCCTGCTGCATGCCTAGAAGACCAGGAGCCAGGACGGCTGCATACTCCATCTGGGCTGGGTTTGAAGTGTACAGTGCACAATCTCTTACCGGTGGACAGCCAGGAGTCACATCTTGCTTGTACTACATGTCTGTCACAAGCTGGCTGTGTCTGCCTCACATGCATCTGTGCTCGGAAACCCTGACTGACTGAGGACCCTCTTTCTGAAACAGTACTGATTGTCTTGGCAGAGAGAAAGAACATGGCTCCTAGAGCTGCTGCTGAGAGCGGTTCACAGGGCCAAGCCTGATGTCAGTGGGAGGGACAGCAAGTGTTTGTGAATAGTAATGCAGTCCACCACACCCTGCACTGCACATTCCCTCCATTCCTCTGAGGCTCAGCCGCTCCAGACATGTTCCATTCCTCTAACATTTTTTCTCCTTTCAATTTACTTTTATTTATCCTCAGTCAAACTAGAATTGGTAAATTCCTATTCACCCTTCAAGACCCTGCTCAGATAATTCCCTCTGAAGCGTTTCCTAATCCTCAAATAGTTCTGATTGTCTTTGGCACTCTCCTTCATCTACCTGAAGGAAAGACTCTACCCTGTGATCTGTAACTGTCTTCTTAAGTCCCAGACTCCAAGCCCAGAAACTTCATTCTTATTTTGTTTCTTCAGTGTTTAATGAGGTGGCTGGCACATGTAAGACAGAAGGTGCTGGATGAATGTTGATGGCTTGTTTTCTAGAGTGGAGTTAAGGAAATGGTTCACCAGTCAAGTAGCAAAAGTAGCTTGCAGTAATATTTGACATATATCAAACTACCCTGATGGAACATTAGCCTGAAGCACTGGTGCCTCTGCTCTCATTTAATGT